TTTTATATTATTATTATTATTGTGTGTGTGTGTGTGTGTGTGTGTGTGTGTGTGTGTGTGTGTGTGTGTAAGTTAGAGGGAAACTTTGTAGACTTAGTTTTTTCCTTACCTTTTCATGTGTTCTGGGGATTGAACTCCAGTCTCCAGGCTTGCATAGCAAAAATATTTACCCACTGAACCATCTTGCTGAGCTTTATTTCATACAACCTTTTTGGTTGGGGGGAGGGGTAAAGGAAGAGCAGTATCTTAACTCTTTAGCTCTGGCTGGCCTAGAACTATTTATGTAGACTAGGAGTGGACTCAGATTAGCAGAGATCCGCCGGCCTCTGCGCGCACATGGGTATACATGTGACACACTGAGTGTGAAGGTCAGAGGGCAAGTTTTAGGAGTTAGTCTCTTCTGTGTGGGCTTTGAGCATCTGACCTCAGGTTATCCGGCTTGGCAACAAGTGCCTTGACCCAATGAGTCATTTCAATTGCCCCTGATTTTATGTTTGATTGTTCATCAAGTAATCAAATAAAAATGGTTGATAATATTCCCCCAATCTAAAAGTAATTATGATAAAGTAGCGTATCTTAAAGGTACATGGTTTCCACAAATCACTCACAGGAAGCACTCACAGGAGCTCTGCAAACAGATGGCCACAGTAAAATGACAACCATTTCTTGATTGTCAGTGTTCTGACATGTCCCTCCCCCCAGTGATTAGAGATCTTCAAGCATGACTGTGAAACAGCCACGTAGGGCAGGTGAGACTTGCTTGCTTGCATTCTTTCTCTTCACCCCTTTCTTCTTTCCTCAATGTCCTTTCTTATTTGAACCACCGTACAGCAGAAATAAAAGAACTTTCCACCATGATGACAGAATAATAGGGTAATAGTTACAAGAAGCAACTTCTCTCAGGGCTAAAATCAGATTGGTTCAAAGGACAACTTGTCAAACATTTGTTTTTAAAAATATTTCTACTATTATTTATTTGCATATTTATGTGTGTATGTCTGTATATGTTCCTGTGCCCATGGTTAGAGTTATTCCCCTGGAGCTGGAGACAAGCAGTTTTGAGCTGTCCCATGTGGGTGCTGGGAACTGAACTTGGGTCTTCTGGAAGAACAAGACACTTAGTCATATTCTGAGCCCCACGGCAAACATTTGTAACTAGAGTTGTTAATAAAAAGGCCCAAGCAACTGCTTACCTCAGGTGTTTTTGGGTTGGGCAACTGAGAAACTTTATCATACGTAGAGATGAGTAAGCTGCTAATGGAGGGCACTAATATGCTTTATGTTCCTATTCTAAACAGGTGTAAAAATATATCGTAACACGGGAAATACATGGGTAGTGAGTGACGTTGATTATTTTGACTTTCTAGAGCTTGTAAACCTAAACAATGTCCAAACCTCTTTCTTTTGTCCCTAAAAGAACATATTCTTCTCTAAGACAAACCAAAATTGTCCTTTTTTTTTGGTTGTTGTTGTTGTTCATGACTTGAGTTTCTACATAGAATTTCTGGTGTGAATTCACTACTGAAGGACAAAATACTATATAAGGAGAATATTTCTTTCTCACTCAATTGCTTTAAAACATTCTTGGGGCTGGAGAAATGGCTCAGTGTTTAAGAGTGTTGGCTGCTCTTCAAGAGGATCCAGGTTTGAGTTCCCAGGACCCACATGGTGAATTCATAACCATCTGTAACTCTAGTTCCAGGAAATCCAATTCTTTTTCTGACCTCTGTGGGCACTGTATACATGTGGTACACAGACATACATGCAGGCAAATTACCTATACACATAAAATAGTAAACAAAATGTTTAAGAAAATGCTTTTAAAAACTTCAGCTTTTATTATTGATATTTCTATGTCTCACCTCATACATTTTAAAATGTATGTCATTCTTTTATCTTTACTAATTCTATTTAATGCTTCTACATATTAAAAACTTAAGACTGAATTGTTTGAAGAATAGTATTTATTCTAAATAATGAGGGTAAAGATTTAGGGCACATCTCAGAAGCCTTAATCATAATCTAAATTATATAATTATACCCATATCTTTCTGAAACTTCAGATTTTACATACACTATCATATTTTACTATAATAATGTTTCTTATTAAAACTGAGTGTAATTCACTATGTTCTCTACTCTATTTAAAATATGTGAACTATAATTTAAGAAAACCACCATCATTTCTGTGTTTATTGACTGACTGATGAATTGAGAAAAGGCCTCAATGGGTAGCCCAGGCTAGCCCCCAATTTTAAGACAACGTTTCTGTCTCAGCCTCACCTGCTGGGATTACAGACATATGTCCCCATGTCCAGTTTGCAAAATACCATCTTATGGCCAAAACACAGTGTACACCATTGCCTAATGTTTCTTCATAAGCCATTCAGTCTGAATTTACTCTATGTCCAGTCAAGTATATAGACATCCTCCATGCTTCCTTTCTGGTTCAACAGTGTTCTGCTTCCTCTTTCTGTGTAGGGCTCACTGACTCACTGGAAGGGTGTGAGTATAGAGGGCTCACTGGCGGGGGTGGGGTGTAGGTACTAGATACTTCTTTGTTGCTGCTTGTGGTTTGACACAGTGTCCTGTGTACCCCATCCTGAAAGTGTTATGTAGCTAAGGATGACTTTGAATTTCTGATCCTCATGGTTTTTGCATCCAGAGGGCTAGGATTACAGATATGCATCCCATACTTGAATTAAAATTGAGGATCAACGCTGGGGCTTTGTGTTTGGGAGGCAAGAACCGTACCAACTAAGCTGCAAACCTACTCTTTAAGTTTGTCTTTAAAAACTTCTATTTATTTCTTGTTGGTGGCCCCATATGGCTTAGGAGTGCCTGGTCCTGTCAATTCTCATGCTTTTCCAGAGTCTAGAAAGCAAATTTATTTGTATTTCTATTTTCTCAGTTGCTGTTTTTGGTTTTAATTTTCTTAGATTTTCTAAGTCATTTATTTTCCACCTTCTAAAACTTTGTTTTCGGGACAAATTCTTAAAGATAACCTTTGAACAAAAGTGAAATGCATTTTACATAATTCACATCCTAGATCTCAAATGCCTATGGGAGTCAGACAGGGTAAGAGCCAGTCAAGTGTCTCATACTGGACACATTAGGAGGAAGACGTGCTCTAGGTTAACAAGCTGCAGCAGGTAGGCATGACTGAGTGACTACCTGAGGTGTCCTCATGGGCCCATCTCACTGCTTCTCTACTGTGTGACCTTTAAAAGGACACATTTAGAACTGTCCTAGTGCCACCAGTGAGGCACGTAGGGTGAGAGGTACAAGGCAAGGACTTTTGCTTTGGGGCTACCTTAGGTGACTGAGAAGGTGAGTCATAGCAGGACGACTTCTTTGACAGACTGCCCTGGCCAGGGGCCAGGAAGAGCTCATGTCCAAATTGCAAGACCCCTTGGAAGACTGAGCTAAGAGTTTTGGAAGTGACAGAGGAGGCAAGGTTAAGGCCCGGGCCGCACTGTGCCAAGAGCCAGTTCACGTAAAGGCATGGAGGTCAGCAATGGGGACTAGCAAGCCGGTAGGGCAGCAGTGCTGCCTTCTCCAGAGAGGGCACCCCCCCATCAAGAGATGTCATCTTGGGCTACAGAAGAGGGTGATGCCGAGTCAAGAGAGAGAAACAATCCTGAGGGACCTTGAGCTTTCCATTTCACTGAGTGTTCTTATGAAAGCAACATTCTTTTCAAAAGAACCCATGCTGGGGACAGGGCTTGTTAGTGAAGAACACTTGTCACTCTTGCAGAGGATAGGGTTTAGTGCCTCCATAGTGACTCATAACCCTTCCCTAACTCCAGTTCAGGGGACCCATCTCTCTCTTCAAACCTCTGTAGGCATCAGGCACACACGTGGTACATATACATACCGCAGGCAAAATTCTCACATACATACAATAAAATAAATAAACCTAAAAGATGAAAAGAGCCCAAGCCAAAGCAAAAATAAATGTATAATGGGAAACATATTGAATTATCCGAAACTAGAAAATTTCAATACTTCTCCATCTGCAGATACTTAGAGCCCATAAGAAACAGCGAGGGAGCGAGGAAGTTATTTCTGTCAGCTAAGTGATTGCCTAGCAAGAAAGTTTGGTTATCAGAACTCTTATAAAAAGGCAGGGATGCTGACAGCTTCTGTAAGGTTACTTGGGATGCAGAGAAGGGCAGATCCCTGGGGTTGCTGGACCAGTCATCCTAGCCGAATCGGCAGCCCTGACTCCCAGGGAGAGATCTTGTTTCAAAACCCTATGTTGATGGCTCCTGAAGAATGATAGGAAGGTTGATCTCTGGTCTCCTTTCAAACAAGCTCACACTTGTTCAGCCTCCCACCCACCACAAACACATCCCAATCCCTACCACACATACAAAGGACTGAACTGTAAAAACTCTGGAGGACATGGATTTCTTAAAATATTGATTAGTTGATATGTAAAGACAGGAGTGGCTTCTCTTGCTGACACAATGCATCATCTGATTACTGATTCACTATCCTTTGTGTATTTATTGTGCCTGTGTTATCCAGTGGCACAACAGAGAAACCGGAAGGGTCTTCCTGTCAAGCACATTTGGAAAAACAGACACAGAGACCAGTGGATTTTGTCAGAATACAAGATTGCTATTTGGCATTACTTACTACAATTATCAAAAGCAATTTTAAAAGAAAACAACTCGACTCCCCCAAATATCAACGTGTTAACACATCCAATGGCTATATAACAGATGGAAATTGTGGAGTATAACATTGAAACATTATTGTTTTAAATGTCACCATTGATGTCCCCAAAGATACAGAATTGCAAATGATAGATAATACTCGTTTTTGTCACTAGGCAGGCATTTGCCTCCCCATTTCTTTCCCTCACTACATTATTATGCCTAAAAGCCTTGGCTTCAGTTTGGAGGTGACTGTTGGTGCTCCTTCTGCTAAAGCCATTCATATCATCAGCCAGTGTTAAGTGTGCATGGGTGCGTGCATGCGTGTCCCTCGTCTCAAAAGGACTTAAGCTTTGGGGTCAGAGTGACGGTGTCGTAGCCATCTGGGGGTCTCGTACGGGCTCTCAGCGTGGGTCTCACAGTACAACTCCCCTTCCACAAAGAAGTAGCCCTTCTGCTTGAGGTTGAGATTACAGTCAGCGCACACAAAGCACTCAGGGTGCCGGTACTTATCCCGGGCCTTCACAACAGCACCTCTGTGGGGAGAAGACACAAGTACAGACATGGGTGAAACCAGGCCAGGAAGGGAAAGGATGCCACCCCAAGCTCGGCAGTTTCACAGCCAGGAACCTCAGTGCACATCAGGGATTTATATGACCATCACCTCATCTTTCTCTCTGATACTGGCTAGTGCATAGTCTTTACAATCTCAAAGATGTAATTTAGAGAACAGGAGGCTTCTGTCTCATGTCCTGCCCTGAGTTTCCTTACAAGTGGTAAGTGGGGAGCCATAATATATGTGGTTACTTTGGGGAGCTCAATCCACCGGCAGGCTGCACAGTTGGAAGTTCCCCTGCCAACCTTCTATGCCAGGTCTAGCATCTACTCTACTGAATAGAGATGGCACACCCACTGGGTGGGCTCACCTTAACCAGGGACGCTATTTTTGTTTTTTGTTCCTTTTTTATAAAGGAGCAATAATTACTTTTGGTGATGCCATAAGTTGTTTGTCTTCAGAGGTGCTGTTAAACCACTCCCTTACCCCCCTCTGTTCCCTGTGTTCTAAGCAGAGACCCCTCCTCTCACCGTTCTCTTGGGTAACTGGGAAAATTTTGTCTCTATTTGTGCTGGGGGAACGGGATAAAGGGACAGGAGAAGTGACCACAGGAAACACACTTCAGATGATAGGACTCACTTGAATAATCTGAAGTTAGCAAAGGTAACTGTTTACACATGGAGTTTCTTGACCAAAGAAGTTGACTGTATTTTAAACATTTATATCTGGATATTTGTATAATTAAAATAATTGGTCACACAATGCATTTTAATTCACAACCCAATGGTCCTTGCATTTATTTCTCTCCCACATAGGGAAAGCAAGTATTTGAAGATTAAATATTAATGAAATTAACTTTTAAAATGGAAATAATGATTCCTAGATATTGTTTTCATACACACATTTGGGCAGAATCTTTTTTTTTTCGCAAAACTATTTCTGAAGGTGCAGACTGCTGGTTCACATTCCATGACAATTTAAGGTTATGACTAAGGCACCCTGGCCAAATACGCATTATAAATGTTCTATTTTAAGTCAATGAGCAGAAATTTAACTTTTCCAAAATCGCCTTTTCTACACAAAGGTTTAGCAGTACAAGAAATGGAAAACCGCCAACAAGACTCAGAGTGAATTCCCGAGTTAAGAGTAACACGTACACAATGCCACTCCCACACTTGTCACAGAGTGGCATCCTCGGGGCACTGCCAGCTCCGCCGTGGACTTTAGTAACCGGAGCCCTTACGCTTCTAGTTCCAGCCGGGCGATCATCTGAAAAACAAAGTGTTTCCATTTATGGTGGGGAACAGCTGGCTCCAGTCTGTACTTGGAGTCTATTTTAAAGTGTGCACTTTAGCCTAAGGAGTTCTTCAGCTGCATCTGCAGCATGGTTTCAAAGGGAGCAGGGCCCATTGGTGCAGAAGACACTTGGTTTTGAAACAGGCCCCGTTAAAATGAAATTACTTACATGATCTGGTGCTGGGGACTGTTGCAAGATGCTTGGAGCAGAGGGTACCTTTCATTTGATGTCGTTTGGGGAAAAATGTCGTAAAATTTACTATTCCAATGACTTTTGAGAATGGAGCCCACCTGCTGCAGATCACTGTGGGTTTTGTCACCTATCCGTCACCTGCAGACAGAAACTGGGGACTGTGTAACCCCAAACAGGAAGTGTTCTTTTCCTCCCTAGAAACCTCTTCTCCACTTTCTGTCTACAATGTCTCGTATGAACAGAACCATGAAGATCTTTCCCTTTTTGTCTGGTTTCTTTCACCTAGCATGCTTTCAAGGCTCATCTATTCTGGCAGCGTTCAGAATTGCACACCTTTTAAAGGCGGAATAACAGTGAGCCCCAGCTATGTTACCACACTTTGTTTATCCATTCTGGTTTCAATGGCTATTTGAGCATTTCCACCCACTAAGTCCTTGTGAATAACCGGAATACCATTGTACAAATATGTGTTTTCATTTCTGCTTTGAGATGTCTGTCTAGGCACAGAATTGCTGGGTTATTTCTTAATGAACTTCCTAAGGAGAAACTGTCCTGCTTTCCACAGTGGTTGGATCATTTATATCCACACTGTGGATGCACACAGTTTTCTATTATTTCTAGAACTTCATCAATGCTTAATTTCCATTTTTGTACCATTCCATTATTGCCTCTTGGGTGACTCTTAAAAGGCATTACATATCTTTTGTTTTGTTTTGTTTTGTTTTTGAGACAGGGTTTCTCTGTATTGCTTTGGAGCCTGTCCTGGAACTAGCTTTGTAGACCAGACTGGTCTCGAACTCACAGAGATCCACCTGCCTCTGCCTCCCAAGTGCTGGGATTAAAGGCGTGCACTACCAATGCATGGCTGGGCAATACATATATTTTTGGGGACAAAAAGCATGGGTGGAAGTACAAATCTGAGAACAACAGAAGTGGGTGAGAGGTCAGCTCTCCTACATACTGGTTGTGTGACCTTATCTAAGTCCATTTTTCTTCTGCCTCTGTTTCCCATTTGTCAATTGGGCAAATAATAGTTCCTCCCTTCCTGAGTTACTGTGAAAACTTAGTAATACATATGCAAGGTACTTTGCAGAGTGAGGAACACAGTACATTTCATTTCATGCTTTTTTTTTCAGGCTTTCAAGACAGGGTTTCTCTGTGTAGCTCTGGTTGTACTAGAAATTTTTCCTAACATTAATCATTACTTCTTTTTTTATTTGTTTGTTTTGAGAGGGTTTTTCTGTGTACCCCTCTTGTCCTGAATGTCCCTCTGTAGACCAGGCTGGCCTTGAACTAAAAAGTCCATTTGCCTCTGCCTTCTGAGTGCTGGGTTTAAAGGTGTGCATCACCACAGCCCAGCCATTTCATGCTTTTTATTTTTTTTATTTTTTATTTTTTTTTTGGCTTGAGGTTGATAATAATCTAAGGAGTTGTGAGGAAGAGGCTGAGAAATCTTCTAGTATCTGTTGAAAACTAAGTCTTATGATTAATAAGCTGTGCTGACCCTTGGCTATGGATAGAATTTGGTTCTGGTGCTCTTATTTAAATGGGAGTGGTCTCATTTCATGAATACTTGGATATTTCCAGAAAGTTCTTTTCCTAAATCCTTCTGAGCAAAGACTCACTTGAATAATGACTAAAACCAGTATACAGACATCCATTCCCTGTTGCTCAACTCTTTGTTCCCCACCATTTGAGGGCCTTCACAAATATGTCAGTAGATACTAGCAGAAGCTCACCAGGCTCATCGTTCACCAGTTCCTGGAGCACCCTGAAGGAGCCTGATTGGCGGGGGAGCAGTTGGTTCATCCCGATTGTCATGGAGCATGCGGTACACATCCGACTGAGGGGGTACTGAGGCTGTGGGTTCACTGAAACACAAATATAGCTGGTGATGCATCTTCGGGAGCCCGAGAGGCGACCTGACAACAAGTATCATCTACTGCTTACAGGAAGTGCCGAGCAGGGACTACTCTCAAGTGAATCTCCACTGTAAGAAATACCGTGTGAATTCACACAGGCAACTTTGGTCTGGACACGGTAATTTAAGAGTGTCTGATGGCCATATAATTATAGATGCGCACAAAACTGCCCCCAGCTTTTGTTTACAGAAAAGAGATAGCAGACACTGTAGAGTTGTGAGCTCATTTGGTTATTCTTACCCATACACGTTTAAACATTCCCCTTTTTGATATAAAACCAAGTTTCACGTAACTTGTCAGTTGATGAAATTCACCTGACAGTGTTTCAAACCACACAGGGCAGTAACTTCCATCAATGTTTGCCAAACTGACTAGTCTATTTTTAATAGTCACATTAATAATTATGAGATCAGTCTTATTTACTATGATTTCATTAAATATATTAGTAATGAACAATTAAAAAATGTTACCAAATTACTTGTTAGGTACTACATACTTTGTTATCTAACTGTAACACCTAGAAATTTATCTGTGTATATTTTCAACACCTGCTATATTTTAAAATAATCATATATATGTACATATATCTTTACAAAATGGCTTTCATATTAACTCACTGTATAAACCCCGAGACAACTCTGAGATACTGCTACATAGCATTCTCAAATATCACAATAATTTATAGGAAGTGATTTTACAATACTAAAAGAAGCAATGGGATTTTATTCCATACTAAATCTTTTTAATTGGAAAAGCTTGATGGCAAGGAACTTGGAACAGACATTAATAACAAAGAAGAAACTAGTCAAAATAAAGACTGATGGGAATTGAATATCTTCACTAACAGCTTGAAGCATTTGCTTCTAAAAACTTAATGAAATGCAAACATTTTAAACGGCAAAACAATCCTTTCCACACACTCCAATTAGAGGAAGAGAAAGGATCATCCCATGATAGTGTTGATACTCTCCCCACCGCCACCTAGCCCACTGCCTCCTTCTTTTCACCTGCAAAAGACAGGTGTAAGATCACAAGCCACTTCTGAGAATACTAAAACAGGCATTTATAAAATACAGTGCAGCTTTCAAAAGACACCATTTGGTCTTTATGCAATTTCATTTTTTTTTTATCACTACCCTATTATCTATCTGTGTGATAAGATTTATCACCAGGCTTCAATGTTTGCAATAATTTATTTTATTTATTTATTTTTTTTTTTACTCAAAGCTTTTGCATGGCTTTCTTTCCACCAAGACAATGTTAGAAGACACCATCAAAGTTGACATCACCCACGTGTTTAGTCAATAGGCACATGGATCAAAAAGACTCATATTACCTCATCGAGGGTGTCTCCCCTAGAGCAGTGGAAACCTGACCCTGAAGTGTTTCCATAATATTGTCATCTGAGTACAGCTGCATGGGTGTATTAAACTGAGCATGTACAATCTTCACACCAGGAAGTTCCATTTCCAAAGGAATGTTAGGGGCCATCTTAGCAGCAACTTTCAAGTCACCTGGGCAGATCGTGCTAACGGTACTGGCAGAAGAAGGGGTGCTACGTCCACTACCACAGTCAATACCGGAAGGAGTGCTGCAGCCACTGTGGTAATGACAAGGTTGCCCAGAGGTGACACCAGGGACCAGAAGAACACAGAAAACAAGCACAGACAGGTTAGAAGGTGTTGGGGACAGAAGTGGTCATCACATCAGTCTAAACACTGGCTATGGTGTTTCTAAAAGGGACGATGAAAAAATAAATAAACACTAGAAAAAATGTGAATGAGATAAAACGTTGCAGGTGATACTGCATTTGTTGGCTTGATTCTGTAGAAAAAGAATACAGACAACAGGTAGAAAACAAATGTCTATTCTCATTAAAAAAAAAAACAACAACAACAAAAACAAAACAAGACAGGCCAGATAATTTAGTTTCTGACAATATTACAGGTAAATGGTGGAGGAAGATTAGCTTGATATCCTTTTGTGTCTCTCAGTTTTATAATTAGAGTATGAAGAATGGTATTTCACAAACAGTAAACTACATAGCATGAAGATTCAGGCTAAACACTCAAAAGTAGCATGCTTCAGTCAGAGTTAAGCCTTGACTCAATCGTAATTGGAAACCTGGGTTAAGGCTAATTAAAGATTGTTTTTGAGCTATTTTATCAACACTTTGCTATTTCAATATATTATCTTATTGTTCATTTATTTTGTTAAGAATATACTTTTAAAAAGTGTTTTGTAACTTAGTATAGGAACTAGGAGCATTCAACAAATGCTTATCACAGAAAAAGTAGATCCTCTTGGATTATTTGGGTACTACTATAGGCTAAGGTTTGTTTCCTTTGTACAGAGGTGTTTCATGCAAGGTTTTGGACACACACATATTTCCATGCATATTTTTTTATTTCCTTTAAGGACAAGTTTTAGTGACTTTAGAAATATAACAGAGGTTGGTCATCCTAGTCAAGACCTAGGGCGATTTAGTACTCTTTATAAAATTGAACTGGCAACCAGCCACAACTGGCATGCATCTGTTAGTTAATTAATATTAATTAACTTGGTCCTGGCCTCAGGCATGCTAAGTAATCACCCCATCACTGAGTTACAATGAACTACTAATGCAAAATTCTGTTATCATTGCCTGTTAATGTAGCTGTGAACCTGAGAAACATACATGTATGTGACATGATTGTCTTAAAGTTAGCAATCCCTCAGCCACAGAGTATGGGGCCCCATCTCCCATCTTTGCATTTACTTTAAAGGGCGTACTTAAAACCCAAAAGGATGTTGGGCAGTGTTTTTTTTTTTTTTTTTTTTTTTTTTTAATGTTGCAGCTTGGTTATCTTGGACAATACTGTCAATAAATAAGTCAATTTTTAAGGGTCTTGTGTTGCACAATCCAACTTCCTACACCATCCTTTCACTCTGCTTATTGAGAATTTGTTTAAAACCCAGCCAGGACATTAGTTAGGTCACATACCAAAATGCCATTTGGCCTTATTTACCATTTTTCCCCGTAAGCTCAGCACTAATTCCTAAAATTGACTTTAAATTCTGAAAGAAAGGAAGAACATTTTCTCATGTTGATCAGTTTGGTTGGGATTAAATGATTAAATGATGTAAGCATTATGAAGTTCATGGACTTGAAAAATGGGAGGTTGAGACAGTGAGTTAAACCTTGAGGGACCAACATAATGAACCCATTCAGGAAAGATTCAGAACTTCTGTGGCTTCCTGTACATTAGGCAGGATGCTAGATGCTGGGTAAACTATCATTAATGTGAACTCACAGATATGCTTTATTTTGAGTTGTAATTAGCAATCTTTTTCTGCCATTAGGGATTGTATATTGATGTATGTGTGCATATGGTTTTAATTTGTCAAAGATTGTGTCTTCTATTTCTCCTTCTGTTATCATTTGAACTTGGGTTCTGAGACTAATAAATTAGGGGTCTGTGTCTCCTAAATAGAGGAAATGATGTAACGCCAACAAGAATGGCCTTTTATAAATGTCCAGGACAATGTTAAAAGAGTTCCTGTGCTGATTTAGATAATACGGTTCTCAGGGACTCTAGGCACTGTGAAATATCTTCATGAGTTCAGGGACTTATTCTTCATGACTCGGAATGCAGATGCTAGTGTGATCTCTTGAGGCTGTCTTAGCACTGTGGCAGGGTCACCTGTAAAGGGCACTGTGATCTCAATGACTTTACAACCAGGTGGGTTCTTCTACTGACCACAAACTTCCCTGGGACTATGTTCAGACTTGTGGTGAGGAAGAGGGCAGATTTCTGGATGTAAGCTGTTTAAAACTACCCAGAAAAATTTCATTTCTTATAGCCAGATCTATAAAAATATCTTGTGCATATTTTGAGTTATTACTTCGGCTTTACAGTGTCACATTTTTGTTATATAAAAATTGTGGTGCTTTAAATGACTTTGACTGTGATGAGGGAGTCAAACTAGCCAGAGCTAGTACTAAAACACTAGGCACATTGACACATAAATCCACTACACCTGTTTTACCTCAGGTTAAGCAGGTTGTTCACAGGCAGTGGTAGCTTGGTATGGAGCCTCTCAAAATTCTCCCTTGATGAAAAAAAATTACTGGGAGAGAGTAAAAATTTCTGAGTCTGAGAGCAAGTAGTAGGGGACAGAGAGAGAAAGGAAGACTAGAGAGGCATTTCCACTAGTCATTAATATCCGTATACAGGTGCCTGCTCTCTCTCTTTTCTCCTCTCTCTCTGTTTCACCATGTTTAGAAGATTCCTATTTAAGAGCTGTCTGTAAGTGACAAACTTGTGAATGGCTTGCCCTTATTGCTACATTAAAGTTAAGATGAAAACAGAATTCCCCTCTGACTCTTTGAATTTTGTGCAATCAAATGTGTTCTAGGAATTTATTAAATATATTTAGCTATACATTATTTAATAATAAAATAGAATTTTTAACTTTTTTCAAGACAGGGTTTCTTTGTGTAGTCCTGGCTGTCCTAGAACTTGCTCTGTAGACCAGGCTGGCCTTGAACTCGGGCCTCTGCATCCTGAGTGCTGCCCTTGTGCATTTTTAAACTTTAAGTACAGTGTGTTATATGAGGGAAGGTGGAGTGGTACAGAGGTAGTATTGGGGAAGAGGGAAAGATGGAGGAGAAGAAGGAATGGGGAGATGGTAACAGAGAAGATGAGGTAGAGATGAGGTGGAGAGGGAATAGTGGCTTCGGATTCTTTGTGTCTCACACTCAGGAAACACTGAGTCCTCCAAGGATTTGATCCCTTTATCCAATGCACACGGGATGAGCGAACACTGTGATGTTCTGGGCTCAATTCTAGGTGTTGGGGAGAAAACATGGGGCCAGTCGGACAGAGACACTTTATGTGACATCACAGATTTCTCAACTTCTTCCTCCCATTCTCCCATTCGTGTTTCTTTCTGTGTCCGACATTAAGAAAACTGTGCCGTTTACTTGGGGACAACCTTCTGGCCCTTCCTGTAGCTTACTGAAGGGTCTACACTTAAAAATCATATAATTAAATAAGGGTTTCCTAGCCATAGAAGTTACTATAAGGTCAGTCACATAACTATAAAATGTACCAGTTAACATGTACTTAATAGTGATGAGCATGTTAATAAGTTGGCATGGGAAGATATTTAACTAACCCAACATAAAGCAAACAATGTGAGGGCTAAATAAATCATGCCTATGGAATGAGTTCACCTGTGGACTGCCAGTTTGGGTCACCTGATGCAAACCATCCTGCAATATTTCTAACCAGTTAGGAAGCACCTATTCTGATCATCAGCTTCCTTGTGTTAACTAACCAAAGGTCAGAGTAATGGGTTTGAAGTTTCCTGAAGTTGTGATTTTGGTATACCTTTCAACCTGAAATTCAAGTTCAATTTCTGGACTTCTCTGATTGAAGGTAAAGAATTCGGATTATGTTCATCATTATTGTGTTTTTTATGCAGTGTATTCCTGGAGAGTCAGCAATACTCACAGTGATTGATTTTTCACCAGGTAGAAAAGTTTCTATCTCAAGGAGCCTTTCTTCCTTTGCAAGGATCCATACATATGAATAGCCATTCTTATATAAGGGTGGGTTTGAAGGTGCAAAGAGAAGCAGGCACTGAGTTGGGATGGCCAGAGTCTGTCAAACACATAGAGCAATCCTGGCCTCTCCTTATATTACCTGGGGCTGGTTTCCATTTTTCTGTCTTTGCAAGCTGGGCTTTCCTGACCTGGGACAGGGTACATGTGCCTGTCTCAAAGGTCACTGTGTTCTGGAGGGGATCTGCAGAGGCACCAGTTATAAATACACCAGGTGATCGCATACAATTTCACGGCCCTCTATTTACCCTCAGTAGTGGATGCTATCTGGCTACTGTTGGCTGCTGAGTGAGCTGTTTCCTTTTGCTTTTGAAATAAGCACTCCAGACACCTACAAGTTACTTTTCTGGGAGGTTAGTAAGAATTGATAAAAACCACATGCATTTCAAACTTCACAATTTCAGAGTTTATGACCTGGTTCGGCCTGGAATTATGAAAGGTTTGGGCCGAATATTGTGCTTGTGTTCAAAGTAGTTCACATCCTGTAAAAACAAAGGGTTAAAGAAAATCTCTCAGTGGTGGCTTGATCTTTGGGGGTTGTGGGGTGGGGAGTAAATGCACAAGAACTGTGTGGAAAGGATGATTTACCATCAAGCATTGACATGACTACATGACTGAGAAGCATGATAGAACCATAGATATATTTTTTTAAAACCTTGTAGTTACTTAATATTCAGGAACTGGCTGACCAGGCACCAGAACAGTTAGAGCCAAGTTCTTCTCTTTAAAATCAAAAGTGTGATAGTACCTTCAAGAAAGTAAAGGAGGAACAGGCAGCTGGGCTTCTGGAAAGAAATCACATCATGAAGAACACTGGCCAGAACTTAGCGGCAGTACTTACTTTTGAGGTGAACTGGGGATGAGACCCCGAAGCTGTCCATGTAGCGCATCTTGGATATTGCTAGTTGAATAGAGCCCAATTGGTGAGTTATAGGAGCGCTCACTACCTGTCTTTTGTCATCAATGTTTGCTGCTGCAACGAAAGGCTGGGCCCTTCTGTTGTGCGCGGTACCAATGGGTTTGAATTCCTGTACATGGCAGACAAAATACAGAGCCACAGAACGCACAACACAGCTGTTAATGAACAAACCTGGCAGCAATGCTGTGGTTAATTAAAGCATCGTTACCTGCTATATTATAGGATTAGCAAAATGGTTAGGAGAGGAACTCGGGCCCTTCTTTCTACTACATATCTTCGATTTACACATGCTACATTCATCTACCAAACATTTGATGAAATGGACTGGACCTCATTTGATTTCTTAAAATTCAAGCATTGTCTGATCTTCTCCTTTTCTGGCTTCATCTACTTCTTTTATGAAACTCAAAAAAAAAAAAAAAAAGTATTGGAAATGAGATTTTTAGCTTAGAAAATAATGACCAGGTTTAATAGTCTCTCCAGTTGAGGTTTCTTGTGTCTTCATCTCTATAAATACCTTTTCTCTTTATGATACTGGTGACAGAGCCCAGGGTCTAGCACCCCCTAGACAAGCCTGCTACCACCACATCTTAATGACTTTTCCTCCATTTTAAGTGAGATGATAAAACTCAGCAGGCAAAAGAATAGTTGTGAATAACTACAGTGAATCATTTTAACTGATCTAGGCGCAAATTATTTTACTTCTAAAAATATTTGCAACAAAACTCACATTATTAATTTGAGTGCCACTGTACTTTCAACAAGCAAGGAGAATGAGAAGACTTTAAGAAAGCAGGAACACCATATGTGGAATTCCTTTCTTTTATTATGATAATTCCACATGTGCATTTAAAGATCTCTTCACAGTTGTCCCTTTCTTGGAGGACAAATGAAAGGAATCCATATATATATATATATATATATATATATATATATGTATATATGTGTGTGTATGTTACATACATACATATATATACACACATATATATACATATATATATATATATATATATATATATATATATATATCATGTGTGTTTGTATGTGTGTGTGTGATTAAAAACAGATTTTTTTACTCTGTTGTCCAAGCAACAGGACCACGAAGTAGCATCTCAAGGCTTGAGTTTGAAACTCGTCCAAATGACACAATCTAAGTGTAGGATTAAAGTTTTCTCATTTTGAATACATGGGTAATTTTCAAAGCTGCTAATTTTGTCTTAGAAGCACCAGAGGAAACTGGTAGGAATGCTGAAATACTCATGAGACTGCTCTGTACAAATGATTCCATTTGGCAGAAGTAGCTACATCAATCCTTATAATCTTCACTTCTTCTGTGAATATACAGTCAGTGTCGCACACAGATTTGAAGTGATGCATAATTATTTGAAATGTTTCCCTAAATAGGCCTACTGACTGTGTTAAAAAATAGTTATCACAGTGCAAATGGGATACAGCTTCAATTACTAGTTACTGAGTTTTTTCTCCATCTGCTCCCAATGTCATGACACCTGAGAACTTGTGACGTTATGAAGGACATCTTCAAGCTGGGATGCATGTGTTAACAATCTCCTGAAACTCAAAAGGTTTAAGTTGAATACAACATAGCCTACCACTGTACAATGTTGTTAGACTGACTAATACCTTGTTCTGTTCGTATACTTTTTTTTCCTCTACAAGAATAACTCGATGCTGAGGCATTGGCTCAGGTGACATTGTTATTGCTGTCAGTTGGTGGAAAGAGTATTGAAATCACCAAACAGAGTTTTAGAAACGTCCCAGCTTTGAGTCACCTAAAACTGTGTGCAAACATTTACGTAGCTGTACCATCTGAGGGTGTTGTGCTGATTTTTAATTTAGATTGGTTAGGTTTTGTGATTACCATTTTGATTAACCATTATCATGGCTTGAAAAAGTGTGCTGGAGATAATTATAAGTAATGGCAGTACTCATGGCTTGAGCTTTTATAACTCTATTTAATAGGAAGAAGACAGAGGCTAATTGGCCAATTTAGCTTTGATGGACTATAAATCTTCCATGTTAATTATAGAGTGAGTCAGTCAGTCAGGATAAAACAAGCCAGTCAAGCTTTGTGGAACCTTGTTTTTTTTTTTTTTTCCAGAATGAAGTGTGAAATGTCTTAAAAGTCTTGGTGAATAGTATGACCTTTACAATAGTAAATTAGCATACTATGGTTGCTTGGTTGGGGAAAAGTATCTGCCTTCAGTTTTTATTTTGTAAACCTTCAAATAACAAATAAGCATGGATGGTGATTGTCCTACAAAGGGACCTGCTCATCTGAAGGTATTTGTGCATTTAGAATCCCCAGTAGGATTCCAAATGGCGGTATACACATTAGCCAGCTCCAAGATTTTTGTTTGTGACTTTTAGTTTTGGTTTCTCTTTGTCTCTCTGTCTCTTTTTCTCACATTAGAAATGTGTGATTGGTTAAAAGAAAAATCCCCTTATTTTCCACTCACATCATAAAAAGGAGGTCTTTCTAACTCCAGCTTAAAAATTCTTGTTTAGGCTTTGCAAAGCATTAGTTTCTGGGCTTCTAGAGTCATCCCCTAAAGCACAATGAAGTGTATACACCAAAGTTAAACAAGAGATTTAACGATGGCACAGGGAGGCAGCATTCTGTCCAAGTCTTACATCATTGTTGATGGTCAAAAGGAATCAGAAGGCAAAGCCAATTAGGTGCCTGCTAGTCCACTTTAATTCCTTTTTATCTCTTTTCTTAGAAAAACACATGCAACACAAAGTTTTTATATCGCAGTCTCTATACCCCTTCGTTCATGTTTATTGTACCCAGAGAACACCATCAAACAATTCTTAGCTTCATAAAAACTAGTCATTAAAATTAATTGTTAATTTTAAAATAAGGTGTTTAAATGTTAGGGGCTTATGTTAAGGAATTATATGTTGAAGGATTGAAATGTTAAAACAGCTGGGGTGAAAGGTATGCATCCGATGGAATGCCGTCAATAGCAGAAAAAAATTGAGCTGTTGGCAGTAGCCTCCCAAGTCCTAGAAATGACCTGGACAATGACAACATTCGAAGCCAGTTCACCTTCAATTTCTTACTTGATGACATTGTGCATAGATGAAGGGTCAATGTTATTACCATCTTCCTCTGACACAGTGTGTCTGACTCACATACTTCATTTCTCTGATTTACCTACCATTTTCTACATCTTTCATATATAAACCACCGGGAGGCAAGAAAGCAATGACAGGAATTGAGCAAATATTTGATTAAGTTTAAATGAGGCAATGGATCTGTATCTTTGTGCCTGGAATGTATGAAGCTATCTGCTCACACCCCCTTCAAATGGAGAACAAAGTCACCCTGAAACCATCATTTTCCTCTGGTGATGGACTTCAAGTGTTTCTACTTCTCATTAGAGGAGCGCCAGGGGAAATGTTTATGAGAGTTTGCTTTGTGTAGTTCCTCCTAGTTGCCAAAACATTGGAGACTGAAGTTAGTTTTAGGAAAACAAACTGGCTGAACATGGCAGTGCCTCTTTAATAGGAGGACACAGTTCTTTACCAAGACACGACCATAATGTTCTTCAGGCTTAGACAGCAGTTTCTTTGTTTCTAAAAAGCATCTCTTTTTGCTATGACAGGTATATCATATCTTTGAGTTACCTGGCTGATATTAAGCAGGAATGAAAGCAACAGTTTGCTCGAGGAAGGAAGCTTTGTAGAAGGACTAACAACACACCCATCTAGAGTGATGCCTTGTTTAGAAAAATGCTGGAGCTTTCCCATGGACTGCCAGATTCATGGAGAATGAATTCATTCAGTTGCTAGAAACTGCTTTGAACAACTTCTAAGGTCTTTTAGAAGCCTGAGACTCAAATCTGAATCTACAAACACAAAACTTTTCTATATTTAGTGATAGCATGGAAAATCTAGCCATTAAAATTTTAACATCAATTATTATAATTGTGTAAGAAAGTTTCCCAAGTTTAAACTTACAAGGAAAATGACTATATATCTTAACATGCTATTTCTTGGCTCTTGTCTTAAATAATGGGGCATAGTGTTTCACTTTCAGTGAGTAGATAATATGTTTAAAATAAGAAAGAATATCTTATACCATACCAAAGTTCACAATACTTACTGTAACAATTTGCCTTGGGTTGAGAAAAAAGACCTCAAATTTTCTATTATTTGGTGGTATTTTTCCACTCCCTTATAGGTGAATGGTAGCATTATAGTCACTGATGCCATTTGTTTTTCCAACTGACACACCTGTTTCCAGAAAGTTCCTCTATTTACACAGTCTCATTAAGGGGGGAAAAAGTGATATTTTTTTGAGATGCAGTGTATTGCTTAAAAATTAAAATTAAAAATCGGAATTAAAAGGCCACAAATGTATACTCTATTAGGAGAAAGTATCTCTATGTTGCAACCAAGACTCACAGCTGGCAGAGCTACATTGAAATTAAGCTGTCTTGTAGACCAAATGCCTGTGCCATGTGAACTAGTCATGTTGCAATCTGGCTGAAGAGCGGCATAAGGGGGAAACCCTTTGATGATTATGAGAGTTGAACTTGTTCTTATCTCTGAGCCCTTCAAAGGCTGACTTCTTGGAGACGGAGCCAGTAAGGACTAGGCATGACTCAAAATGAATGGAATTTTAAAAGACACCATGGAATGCTTGCTACAGTTGTTAACCTAATCGTCACTTTTTTTCACTTAAGAAAGAAGGACAAATTCATTTCCTTTCATTTACTTTTCCCTATTTGAAGAATTTTAGAAAAGAAATGTATACTCTAAACTTTTTAAGTTCAGGCTATTCCGGCTAATAAAATGATTAACAAGTGGCCACAATAGTTAAACTTAGAATTATGCCTTAGAAGCCAATTCTTGGGAAAGTGATAGTCATAAATTATTGCATACAGATTTGCAAGAGAGATCTCTTTTCTCACTCCAGCTCAGGTATTATCATCGATCCTTAATTCTGAAGAGATGGTAGCAAAACAGAAGACTCCCATCATGGCTTAAGTACATCTTGGTTTAATAAATCCTTCCTGGGGTAGGAGTGGAAACTGTGGTTAAGTGTCATACGGGGGTTTGTCCCATTGGTTGAAGTTGCTTAGTTCCCCAGACCTTACGTCTCATATTGGTGAGTTAGAGTTTTAAAAACAAGGATACATTTGGGATAGGAAAGTAATTTGCAAAAAGGTGCATGCTATACAGTGATTGACATGTGCTGTGAGTGGACAAAGAAGGGGGGGGGTTTGGCATTCTAAAGACTCCATGTTTGGACAGTCAACAGATGTATGCAGAAGTGCCACACAGGTCTCCTTTCACTTGCATTGCCTCTAAATGATGAACTGATGTGTATGGGAAGTAGGTGGGTGTGTGCCTTACTGCAAAGGGCTGTGTATACTCGACAGTGATGTATCTAGATTATTGTGTTTCATCTAATCTCTCCTTATATCAGATTAAGTGCTGATTGAGGTATTGCCAACATACAGGACCCTAGCATGCCAGGGTGAGCCACTAATGGCTTTTAGATTTTTTTCACTAGATTTACAGGTTGCATATGTCTAATAAAAACTCAGAAATCCAAACTGCTCCAAAAGGAGAAACATTTTGAGCTATGATATGTTGTAAGTGGAAAATTTCATGTCTGGTGTCATGCAATGGGTTTCAACTAAATGGGCTCATTACTCTGAGCCTATGTGTCAAGATGTAAAAGAGGCAAAAATGAATTTTGTGCTTAGGCTTGAGTCTCTTGGGTAAAGTATCTCACTGTGCATATACAAATGTTTCAAATTAATCTAAAATTTCTGGTCCTAAGCAGTTTTAATATGGGGCAGTCAATCCCATCCTTTTCAATGCTTGCTCAGTTACTGTAAAGAATGGAAGTTTCCTTTGATATATTGCCAAGATCACACAGGCCTTAATAGATGGAGGCAGAAGCTGCTCTGAGAGCTAGTCCTGGGGAACAGTCCTGGTCGTTGCTAGGAAATGTAGCTTGTCTCACACATTAGTGTGCAATTTACTGGGTGCTGGCTATGCTTGGGGGAAGTCTCCGTGAGAACAGACACATGGTTCCTGTCTTGAGAATATCCTATATCCTGCTTGCTTTTTTGGGGGCCCCTTTCTCTTCTTCGGGTTCATAATTTTTAGGCACAGACTCTTCCCTTTTAGTCAAAAGCTAGGTCAAGAATCTTAAAAGCCCATCTCTCTAAAGAATACAAGCTGTCTCCTTTTCTGTGTGGGCTGGGGAGGGAGCTGTACTTCAACTGAAATGAAACTTGGAAGAAGCTTGTTTTATAATGTCCTTTGGAGCTGTACTTCAACTGAAATGAAACTTGGAAGAAGCTTGTTTTATAATGTCCTTTGTAATAGTCATGAAGAAGGGACTCTTCCTTGTCAAAGAGAGGTGCATACTGTCAAGAAAGTCGGGGAGGCTTCTAATTACCCCTTGGGGGCTGAGGAGAGAAAACACTTAAGCATAAGCACTCCTACTCGTTTGACTAGCTGTGGGCCTTTGCCTATATTGTTTTATTTACATCTTCGAGCAGCCTATGAGACGCTTGTGCTTATGTTGGGCTATGCCTATTTAATGAGGAGATAATAGAGGTTTACTGGGGCAAATAGAAAGTACTGAGCAGATGGACCTGACCAGGGGGAGAGTGCTGATATGTGAGCTATAAATGTGTTCTCAGACAGTCTTCATTAGGTCTATAGAAAACTGAGCACTAGCATAGCTAGCATCTTATTGGGAAATCTTGTTTCAAAGATGATATTAAACACGTGTCTTTGAATGTCTAAGCAGCTTCTAAGCAGAGATTTGAAAGCCCTGTTCTTCAATTTCAGTTTGGGGGGCAGTTCTGAAAGTGGCCTTAGCCTGATAAGCCTTGGGTGATTAGATTAATGTGGTTCAGGAGGCAGGGTTGCCTCAAGGGAAAAAATCCTTTATCTCTCATAAGTAGCCGCACAAGCTGTGTATCTCTATGATCACAAAATTCAATTCTTTTTAGGTAAGGTGAGTTTAATTATAGAATGTTAGAACAGAAAATTAAAGAAGGGTGTCAAAACAAGACCTGGGCAAAGACCTTACAGGATTGAAGATGGAAACACCTATTAGATTAGAGCCACCTGCTTCAAATGGCCCAGCCTGGTTTGTATGTTTGCTTTATTTAAATAATTTAAAGTTCTTAGATTACATCATGGCCATTGATTCAGTAGAAGTCTATCACAAGAAATGAAAAGAAAGGGGGAAAAAAAAGAAAAAAAGAAAGAAAGAAAAAGAAAAGTGGACTCCATGCAGGTTTAGTTAAAGTGTTCTGAATGAAAATGTGTTTCCCCCCATTTTGTTTGTGTCCTGGCTGGCATGGAACTTCCAGTCTATTCCAGACTGGCACTGACCTTGCAGCCATCCTGTCTCTGTCTCCCAAGTTCTGGGATCACAGACATATACCAAAATGCCCAGCAGACAATATAATTGACTTTTAAAGAGATATTTGTCTGGGCACTCTCTCTGTTTTTCCATGAATGTAAGAAAACATGAATCATGTCATTTAACCTCAGAGAATAGAGCCCAATTAAGGCTTTGCAGGTGACTTGTTCTGATTCTTAGGGTTGTCACTTCTCCCTCCAGGAAGCTTGCCCACCCTTGAATGAAAATGCGATGTAATGGTATTTCCTCTTAACTTCATACCTGTGGTTCAGCTTCTAAGTTGATTTTGAAAGGGTGTGTTTTTCCATCTTCAGATACCTGTGGAGACCATAAGCGGGTTTCTGCCCTGAAAATAAAACAGTTGCAAAATGAATCAAAATGGCACCCCTTTTTAAAATATACATTATTTCCTACTCTATTTTCAAAAAATACTAGCAACCTTCACTAATTTAAGCCAAAAGGATTTAGTTTTTTTTTCTTGTTCTGTATATCTGTTAGTCTTACATTTTTAGTGGTTTTTTTTTTTTTTTTTTTTTTTTTTTTTGAGGACTTGAGAATACATTAAGTGCTTGGTGTGGCTTCTGGAGAAAGTATGTCTCCAGTATGTGTAGGAACATCCAGAAGAGGGACACTTGGAGACACACCACAGATACCAAGAGGCAACATGCATGGATCTCTCTTCTCTTCTATCCAACTAAAGCCACCACAGGAGCCAGGAGAGATTGCCACATGGCTGTGTGACTGCATCCAATAGCCATGGTTTGTCCAGTTCTTATGTATCTGTGGCTCTGCAGCATGAGCACAGATAGAAAAGAATCTGTTTTATTCCATGAAGGTTATGGATGGCTAATGGATCAAGTCTTCTATCCACTGGAGATAGTGGGTACAACAGCAACATGTTAATCACATAAGCACGGCCACTATAACCAATTATTATATCATTATTTTCAGCTTCATATCAAGGCTCTCATAACAAGAAGTTGGATTCAAATTTCAACTTTGGGAGACAGGCTAGAAATATCCATATATTTATTATATGCACATATATTCCCCACACATTGTCTCTTGGAATGAATCTGTATAAAATAGCCTACAGTATAAAGGATATTAACAACCAAACTTAACATGATTGCATTGGGGCAAATCAAGAGATTTTTTTTTAAGCAGCATCTTCCAATCCTATTCCATCCCCAGACCTATGGTCTAGCTGTTCCATCTGCTTTGTGTTCTCATGGCTATAATTATTTTCATAGTCAATTCACTGGGCTACTATATGAAGAAAAACCATTCCTTTGTATAATTTTAATTTTGACATTTCAGAGAATTTTTTTTTTTGAAATTGGTTCATCTATGCATGCTAGATTGACCAGCTTCAGTGAATGAAAGAATAAAGGGGCTCATACAGTGAAAAAAAATATCAAAATTCTAGGTCTCTGACATTTCTCACAAGATGATGAGACCATTTAGAGCTCTGGTTCAGGTTCTCCTGAAAACAAGATCAAGTTCTGATCCCATTAGCCAAGATGTACCTGTCAATCTTGAGACACAGTTGATACCCTGCTGCTTTTATCCTGTCCTGTGCATCAGCATGGGTCATGGACTCTGTACCAAAGCCATCAATAGCCAGGATGACATCTCCAGGACACAGGTTGGCAGCTGCTGCCTTGCTTCCCGGGGTGATCTGGAAGATATATCAAGATACCATTTAAAATCCAATATCCAGCAGTATCTTGAGTTTTTTACTTAACATTTGTATGTTATCCTGGAAAACTTTTCAGTGTTTCACTTGTTGCAAAATCTTAAACCTAATTTTAAAACAACTTTCAGTTGTTCAGTTATCTTAGTGATGTTTTATTATGTTAATTTTGATTCATACTAGCTATATTTTAAGATCAATCCTATCTCTTGCCATCTTTTAAATATTTTCTATAACTACATCTGTGAATATTTTCTTTGTTGAAAACATATATATATATATATACATACACACACGCACACATATATATGTGTGTGCATGTGTGTGTGTGTGTGTGTGTATATATATATATATATATATATATATATATATATATATATATATATGCCAGAACTTTCTATTTGGAGATAAAGTTTTCTACATTCTGGTGACTTTGGTACTTGAAACTAATTTAGCATTTTCATTTTTAACTTATCATGAGGGGGGCAGCATGTATTGGAAATTTATATTCCCAAAATTTATATGATGAATTTCTTTCAGAGTGATGACTTTTGATGGAGAATCCCTTGGGAGGGTCAGCAATCTAGAACACTCATGACAGAGATGAGTGTCCTTACAAACAGACCTCCGAAAAAGCTTTGTTATTTTTCTGCCTTCTCTGTAAGAACAAAAGAAGTAGGTTACTTGAAATCTGGAAGAGAGTCCTTGCAAGAACCCAATGATGTTAGTCCCCTAACTTCGGATTTCTAGCTTTTAGAGTTGTAAGAAATAATTTTTGTTGTTGAAAAGCTGCCAAGTTGTAACAGTTTAAACTGAGACAGAACACCTAAATGTAGAAATCTGCAGTCACTCTTGAATTGTCACGAAGAAGCCTGAAAATATAAACATTTATAACAACCTAGATAACTGAAACTACTAGGAAGAAAACCAGAAATTCAAGGAGAGATGGATACTTCCAAGGAAGGAAAAAAGCCCATGCCTGTGCATGAGCCTACCTGATGGAGCATGGAGGAGGAAGTGGGCATAACAATTGCTGTGAGGTAAAACGATACATTGCTAATAGTTTGGTGTGAGTTAGCATGAATGCAAAGAACTGCTAAGAACCAGTGACACAAAGAAAGTTTGTACTTAGTCGTCGTATCTTCTCCATGAATGAAGAACAGATGGAATAAATAAAAAACACCTAATAAGATAGGTTTTAATTGAACCAGATAGGTAACTACATTATATATAAATTGTCTAAACATATTACTTAAAAATCAGAGACTTCATAATAGGGAAAAAGCAATATTCATTTTCCCCCCTTTCTGACAGAAATGTGTATAACTGTCATCTCAAGTAGACTGCAAGCTAATTCAGTGGAGAGCCCCTGACATGCTGATTTGACTAGTGATTTTTCAACTTTATCATGGTTCAAAGGGTGTATAACCCAAGATGAACCATATTTTGGGTTCTGTAGTGTGATATTTTACTTAGCCAATGATTTACAGTATAATACTTTTTCATGATACTGGGGGGATAACAGCACGGCCCCAGGTCCACAGAGCAGGGGTTGGGTGGGTGGTGGGGATCTGATTGTGAAGTTCAGGCTAGGTTGGTAAACAATCAATATTCTATATGTACCATGCTTATAAGCTGTGGTGCTGGGTGTGTTAAATCTATCAAGATGCACACTGCATTTTCAACTTACAGTATTTTCAACTCTTGATGGTGTTATCAGGATGTAAGTCCAACCCAGGTCAAGGAGTATCTGTATTACTAATGTTTCACTGTCTATTTCCTGGTGTTTAGATTTAATAGATGAAAAAGTGAAGAATGAGCTCAAAGGTCATTTAAATCAGGGCTTATGAAGAAAAGGCTAGTACCCCAGAATTATGTATGTGTATGTGATTTGTATGCATGTGATCTCTCTCTCTCTCTCTCTCTCTCTCTCTCTCTCTTTCTCTCTCTCTCTGTGTATGTGTGTGTGTGTATGTCTGTATGTGTGTGCACCTGCTCATGTGTGCTCTGGGTACAGAGGAGGGCATCAGGTTTCCTGCTTTATCTTTGTCTCCCTTATTTACTTTGAGACTCTCCATTTCCCTGGCTGGGTAGAAGGAGGCCTAGTGACTGTCTTGTCTCCACCACTCCACAATGACTGGATTACAGGTCAAGTTGTGACTGAATTTTTCTTGGGTGCTGGAGATCTGGACTCAGATCTTCATGCTTGTGCAGCAGGTGCTCTTCCTACTAGGCCATCACCCCAGTTCAGTGCAGGTTTATTATTATGAACTTGCCACTGTTGTGTTTGGAAGCTGGCAATTGCAAATTAGAATTAGCCATGAATCTTATTTTAAACTTCAAATTGCTCTAAGAATAAACTCTGTGGTTCCTAATATGTTACTCTAGGGTTAGTAGTCAATTTGCTATTCTCTGTTTGCTTGTTCTATTCTAAAGAGATTCAAATTCATTTAAATAAGTAAAATTACAGAAACAGTATGTTCTCACACGCCATGGTCTCCAGTATTATCACTAGATTGTTTATTGTTCTTTCTTAGTTTCTGGGTCATGAAGATTTTGTAGGAGGAACAGTTGATAAAGCTTGGTGAAGACAACTGAGCTTAGTACATCTTAGTCCTTGGAGGCTATTTTATAGCTACTTTTCATTTAGAAGTTCTCTTAATCATTTAATATCCTTTCAATATAGAATGTCAAGGGCAGTACTTTCTATTTTTAAGCTTCTGAGGTCAGAATGCCTCATTTTGGTTTAAAACATTAAATGAGGCTTAGTGTGCTTATTTGTAAAGCCCCTCTTAGTTTTAATAATACAGTTGAGCAGACTCAAAAGTATGGAACACTAAATCCAGATCTGGAAGTGGTTAACTTTTTTTTTTGTTTTAGCTTTGGTTATTATGAATGGAAAATAGAGACATGTATATATGTGCTATGTATGTGTATCTACATGTATCTGGGCTTCTAAGCTGTGCTGTGGGTGGGTTAAATGTCTATACTCATGTAAGCAGACATCAGAACTTAAATGTTGAACAAGTAATAAATATTGACTTTATATATTGAACAGACATTAGATATCAAAGTTGGATATTTTAGATAGTAGAAAGCACTAAAATTTATTGACAGTAAATACTAAACTTAAGAATTTTATCTTATCTTTATATAAAATGCTACATTGTAAAACTGTTTTCAATTGTTCCAGAAATGCTCATGATAGGCTGAGCAGAGAGAGCTGTTTCATTTCTGCAAGAAAGAGATATTTCTAAGTAACCCAGGGCTTCCCGCTGAGTTGAGAGCAGTTACAGGACCATGTCATCAGGCATTTCAAAAGCTGGCTTGGTTAACGTTAGTTGTCATCTTGACAGAGTAGTCATCTGAAAGGACAGTCTCAATGGAGAAATTGCCAGTTTAATCGACTATGGGCATGTCTGTAGGAGATTGTCTTGACTGTGATTGATGTAGAAAGGCCCAGTCATTGTCAGCAGGCAGCCCTGAACTGAGTAGGAAAACAAGCTAAGTCCAAGCTGTCCAGCTAGTGAGCGGCTTCCTCCTTAGTTTCTGCTGTATGTCTTGGCTGTGAAATGAGTTCATAATGCTATGGTTCTGTCTTGCTTCCTGCAGTGATAGGCTGTGATCTGGAATTGTTAAGCTGAGATCCTTTTCCCGATGGTGTTCTTGGTCAGAGTGTTTTAACACAGCAACAGAAATGAAACCAGAATGGGTGTCAACTAGGAACGTGGCTAGTGATAGCAAGAACCCTCTTCTGACTTTGTTCTCAACATGGCAATTACTGTCTTTACTCATCCACAGATGGATGGATTGGACAGAAAATGGATGTAGAGGGAGAAGGAGGCATATGAGTGAGGCCTTTGTTGTCTATAGTTGTATAATTTAGTAAGGCAGAGGACTAGAATGACTAGTGACTAAAATGACTGCTAATGACCTTGTTTTTGTAAGTCAAACCATTTACTGAGGTATAAGAATACATTGTCTATGATTAATATATATTATTGCTTTTTGTTAATGTTCTATTATTATATTATTATATTGTATCTTTATAGTGTGCTCACAGCTTTTTATTACTATGTTTTCTCCAGTGAGGAGAACAGAGGTGAAATGAAGCATAGGGTTTTAGTTTTCAGTTCTTTTTTTCTCTCAAGACAGGTTTTCTCTGTGGAGCCCTGTCCTGGAACTCACCCTGTAGACCAGGATGGTCATGAACTTAGAGATTCACCTGCCTCTCTCTCCCAAGTGCTGGGACTAAAACCATATGTCACCACCAACTGCTTGAAGTATAGGATTTTCAAGTGAATTATTTTGTATTTGGGCTCATTAAGGTCTTAACTATTAAATTTACCAGAGAGATAATTGGCCATCACCCTGAAGTCAATCACTCAGCAGCATGATTTTCAGCTTCCCTGTTACAAAAATCACCTGGGGTCCCTTGTTGGCTATAAAGACTACATTCTATACAAGATTTTTGGAAACCAAACTCAGAATCTCTAGGAAAGGACCCACGAGCTTGGATGACTTTGGCTTTTCATGTTAACCTATTTGGTTGTCCACTATTCCCTACCAAATAAACTTTGGGATCCTTGCCAGGCATATAAATTTCTCAAGGATCTGGGTACTGTGGAAGGGTCTAGAGTGACATCTCACATCCTTTACAGCAGAATCTTCTCATGACCCCAGGCAAGGTATTTTGAAAGTGATTTTCATGATTCTTACGTGCAGTCTGGGATGAAGGCAGTCATTTTGCCATGATAATTTTATTATTGAGGCTTATTATCCTGCTTAACTCAAGACAGTACTGTAAAACAGTTACTGTTATTTTAATGTGAGAACATTGATGCTCAGAAATTGTAAGATACTTATATAGAGTTATTTATTCAGTGAAAAATCTGAAATTCTTACTGTGGTTGTTTCACTTACTATTCTTTGCAGTAATCTTCCCAGTACTGTGCCTCCTGCTGTCTATCTAGGCCATACTTTTC